CATGCTATCCGAGGCCTCCCTAAACCACACCAGTCGCGGCAACGCTGGGGCTGCCGACAAACTACCGGTCATCATGTCGCCTGCGATTATCACGTCTGTTATCTCTGCTTCGCGACCTATGCCTATGCAGAGATCGGTCTCGACCACCCAATCGATGGTTCCTATACTCATCCAAGGACTGATGTAAGCCTGGTACGCTCTGAAACAGGGGACACCATGAGGGAGCGGGTCAATGCACCATCCAAGCGGCCTATCACCTCCCTATTGCCAGTGAATCCAGTAGTGTGGTCGTGTGATGCAGGAGCCGAAGTGAAGTCAACATTGAGATAATGCCCAGCAGCTATCTCCAGGCCGTACATGCAGTTGTAGGCCTTCACTGCATCGGCAACATGCGAGTACCTACTCCAGTGAATGAGCGATCAGACCGAAGACCTTGGCAACGACGGTAAATGCTACTAGACCGCAAGGAGGATGTTCGCGAGTTCATGAGGTAAATATCACCATAGGATGAAAAAGGCCAGATATAACCACAACACACTCACTGTATAAAAGCGCAGTTCTTGTTGTCGAGCATTCGGAAGTCTTCGATATCTGACCATAGCAGTAAGGCTTGGACAACTATGATACCAAGCTTACATCCGAAGGTGGCGAAGGCCTTGTTAAGATCAGTCTCCGAGACCTTGAACCCCATGGGTATGCTCCAGCCAACCCACAGCTTCTTACTCGCTTTCAAGGGCGGAGCGAAAGCCACATGCGTCGCATGACCGTGCTCATGCAAATCCCTGAGGCAATCGTCGTCACGATACCACTACGGCTATCGTGCTATACTACTTTTCAACATGAGACTGCAGGAAAGCCGCTGCTCTAGTCGACCTCAGCGTGACATGGAGCACAGGGATGCCAGCTATGGTTATCTAACACGGGATCATTCAGAGCCTCATACGGCATTGCCGACACCAACGTGGACATTTGATGCAAAAAATGAAGTCCAGACTTGAACTACGTTAGTGGAGTTCTCTCACTCATTAGTAAGGACATATTCTAATCATCTTAGATCAGCAGTATAAGCCTCTTCCGAATGGATATGATCCATTTTCCGCTAGGTCCATATTACTATTACCTTATTAGTTTCCACGAGATCATCCAATCTGACCCAGCGAGCTAAGAAGCTTTCAATGGAGCGTCTAGAATCGACGTCGACCTCGGAACTGGGTAGGTTCCCAAAAATAACGTATCGGTTGTTGAGGTACTCCCGATGAGGATGCTTACTGTAGTCGTCAAGCCTACATATGATGCGAAGTGAAATGAGATACAGATAACACAACCAAGAACTCTCCGAGAGAAGGCGAAAACACGTCGTTACCAACTCGAAGTTAACGACAAGTGGTCCTACACCGTCAGCGAATTCTCTTACGACGACTATGAACCCACTGAGCGACTCCTGTATGATGCCCCTCCCCCATACTACAGCGCAGCACAGTCATCATGTTCAAGGTCGTGTATCTCACTCCAATGCGACACTGGCTGCTCTGGAGGTTCGATCCTCAACGCTTGCTTCTCGTCGCTCAACAGACGCCGTCGCATGCCTATCCATCAAGATCTATGAGCACCCCCTACCCTCGATACTACTACCACCAGCATGTCTAGCTCCAGTGCCAACGACACGAGCGCCGGCAAGATACTCCCCGGTTAGTGGGTCCACGTCCATTCGCACCGCAATACCACCAGTGGGAGCTGATCCATCTCCAGCAGCGCTGAAAAAGCTACTACAAAGAACAGCATCACTAAGTTCCCTCACCCTTTCCCCTTGTGATGATGATCACCTTGCTGTGGAGCAAAGTATACATGTACCTGTATTGAATCCATACCACTCCACGGTCAGTTCGCGACACCCGCTCACTTCATTATCATCGAATTTGGAATTGTCGAGCTTCTCACGGGCAGAATAAGCCGACTTGGTATTCTTGAAATCAACGATAATCTTATCTTCTTCCTTCTCCACATTTCTGAACACGTTTACCGGTGCACACACGCGGCCTCACTCAATACAGAATACTACAGGACTTCACCAAATCTACCGCATCGCATCTCTACTTCTGCTTCATCCGTGTCCTCAGGAGCGTTGAATATGAACAGCGTGCCTGGGGAACAGGTCATCCACCGCGCGCCTTTGTCAACTACACTAAGTCGCCTCATACAAGTTCCAACAAGTAGTATAAACACCACAAGTAACGCTTTATCCTGTTGGTGTAAAGCTATTGATCTAGGCATTACTGCTAGGAGGGTTGTTGAGCAACTCCTGTGCATTGTCCGGCACCCCTTCCCCAGACATGGCAGTGTCCTCCCCCTGAGCATCCCCATGCTTTGGGGACAGCTGTTGTTGCACACCCCCAAAGTCTCCATAGTCCACGAAGAGATCTTCGCCATCATCATCATGGGCATCCATTGGTAACCGTTGGAGAAGAGGAGAAGGAGAGGCGAGGAAACAACAAAGAGAAGAACGCCATAGACACACAAAAGAAATAAACCCAGCACTGGCTCCTGGCAAGAGGCACATTACCGAACACATATGATGCCACTATTGAACCCCAACTTGAACGCACCAAGTCTTTATAATAATGCTGAGGCTGATGGCCGAGACTGGTAGCTATAAGGTTGGGGACCCTGCAGTACTGTCTGGAGTAAGCTTCCCATGCGGTGGCGGATTAATGTCCTTCAACGAACTGAGATTAATGACCTAAATGCACGAAATGCACGAAACCCACATAGTGGGTCTGGTAACGCAGCGCATCAACAGGAATACAGAAAAGGAGTAAC